TATTTAGCCCCCTATGCATACTAATGAATTCTTGTATGTTAAAAAAAAATGAACTGAGAGTTATCTGAATATTTTTCTCGTTTGGGCGGCCCTGATACCAGGCAATTATTGACTTCTTCCTACGTCCTTGTTTGTTTCACGTACTCACTTTCCACTCACAGCCGCCATGGTGGTTTTGCTTGAGGGTTATCATGACCATCAATCAAGTCATCACATGCGTCTCCTCCTGATCATCAAATCAGAATTTCAATCATGTCATATACAACACACTCAGGAAAGATGATCTGATAAAGACTGATTTTAATAATACTATAGTAATTTTAAAACAATAACAAAACTAAAGCAGGTTACACAACCTGGGAAAGATAATCCCTTACTGATCCACTGACAGTGTGTATATTGTGTTTTAAGTACATGAACCATGACTTCCTTCTGGGCCACTCTACTCTAAAACATGGGAGGAAAATAAGCAGGTTTGGGAGAGAAATTAGGTTTGGAAAGACCTTGGGATTTGTTGAATAAATAGTTATGGATACGGCTCCCCCTAGTGTACTGAACAACACAGGTAGCCCGGTGTGCAAAAGCTGAGCTCAACCCAAGAGCTGAGCATTCTTACCTCCAATCACCCATCTTAGCTGGACAACTTGAGATCTCTACTCTGCCCGTTTTCCTTCGACTGCACAACCAACCACAGGTCAGGGAAGAAAAGGGGCAGATGTCCTTTATCCAATTTGATCTGAGCACCAATTGTTGCCATGGAAGTAGTGAGTTAATTAGAGGTACCCAAATAATATTAAGAAGCACAAAAAATATTTTATAACGAGTTTCTACTCCCTCATGAGGTAGGGGAATGTGATTAAGAAGAATAAGCTAAGCTGAAGGGTGCTTCCTTGTGAATTATTTTACTAAAAATGTTATTTGCCTCCATCTTGTACTTATCAGAATGTTAACCATCTGCAAATATGTTTTCCTTAAGCAGGATACATGAACCGTTTGGAAGACTAAAAATGGAACCATAGCAGAAGGAAAGCAACTCTAATGGGGAAAATGACTTATATTAAAGCAACGTTTCCCAAAGCATAATCTCCAGAACACGCATTCCCCAGGATGTTAATGGGTCTTAGCAGGGTTTCATGGCAAAGAATTTTGAGAAATTTGGGCTTCAACAGAGTCCTTAGTATGCTCTCAGGAGACCACAGGACTGTGCGACACTAGACTCTGAACCGCAGCATTTCCCAGTTGTTGAACACAGTGGTTGTATCTCCCACGTCCATTTCATTCACCTGGTTTGGGAATTATCCTTTGGGAATGTGCACTGGATCAGACTCTCATTCACTTTCAGTCAAAGGCGGAGAACAGATAGGAAAGTGTGCCAGAGGAGGAAAGAAAATAGTAAATTTGACACAAGCAGCAAATAGGGCGGCTTAAGAAAGTTTTTGGTGAGTGTCCTAACTCTCTTTCTCATGCAAAACATTAGTGATGCCACATATTAAAGTCGCAACCCTTGGTGGTCCTCTAGTGGGGTTGGAGGGATTGGCCATGCTGAACAAATCGCTAGCCCACAAAATCATTGCCAGATTTCCCCTTCAATATCATAGCGGTGATGGCACCTCTGAGAATGAGAAACAGGACTCCTAAAAGTACAGTTTTTTGACTTTTATTAAGACTTATCCTCTTACACAACTTGCACTAAATGACAGGGTATTTAGGCTTCTAATAATGAACAGGATCACAGACACAGAGTAGTTGAAGGAAGTCAGAAGAAGCCTGCATGTAGTAGAATCTGCGAGATGAAGAATTCTGTAACTCACAGCTAGATAACTCCTCCCAAGTAGAGTGTTAGAGAAAAGTGGGAATCCAGAGTGGCTTGTCTAGGACAATGGCACAGGAAAATGATACTAACTCAGGCCCAGCAGAACAGGCCTGTTCCTATCGGCTCAATTCACACTTCAGGGGCGCTGCTTTCCGGGGATTCCTCGGCACACGGGGCCCAATCCTTACAGACCCGAGGGATTGGTGGCATCAGCGGACCTGGATTTCTGTGGAATTCTATCCTCACTTGCTGGGGACAACACATTTTGTGGAAAAATGAATATTTTTCAGCCCGAAGATTGTGGCTTTTAGTCTCTTAGCATATGGGGTCCTTGGAGGGCGGGCAGAGCTTCATCCCAGAAGCAGCTCTTGGTTTTCAATGGCCGTCCTATTTTCTCCCTAAGGCTTTCCAGCTGCCTTGCCCTCGGGCGTGGGGAGGTCGAGTGATTTACTCAAGCACCCAGGTGAAACAGACCGGCTGGGACTTGAACTCGGGGACTGAGCTGGTGCACAGCCCTGGCCCTAGTCAGTCAAGCACTGTGTCCTGGTTGGGCCGCCCGGTTGCCCCACGCGGCCTGCAAGCCGTGCCTGGCACAGCCTGTCCTCCGGCTGCCTCGGCTCGGGGCTGGAATCAGGGGCTTGCGACAGGTCAAGGCTGAGCGCCCTGGCAGGGTGCTCCACGCTGCTCCCTGCTCGAGGCGTCCAGTGTCTGGCGAAAGCCAGGCTGAAGATAGCTAAGCTCACACGCCAAGATTCCAGAAGGAAAAACTTAGCTCACATCTTTCCCTTGCATGGTGATTTTTCTCCCCCGCCTTCCCCCTTTTTCTTTCCCTTTTTTTTTTTTTGCAAAGGGAATCCCCATGTTTACACAGTGAAATCCAAAATGCACAAGTGGTCAGTTCGCAGCTCTGTGACCCATGAACATCTGCGGGCCCGGGTTTTCCTTGGGAATCCGCGGCGCTGGAGCTGGGAGGGAAGCCCGCCCCACGCCCAAGGCAGAAAGAATTCTCGGGTGAGTGAACCGGGCCGCGAGCGAGGAGGCCCGCGAGTGCTGGGGCCCGGGATCCTCTAGTTCTGGTTTCCCCGGGCATGTCTGCACTCGGCTTCACCTCGTTTTATGAGTTGCATGTGATTTTATTTTTTTGGGATGGGTCCATCTGAAATGCCTTACAGGAAGTCGGACATGAATCTTCATTTTGCCTTTAAGAAAAATAAAACTCATCTGAGATGGGTAAACTCGGTCGGATGTTTATCCAGAAATAAGAGCCTCTCTGTGTCCTTTCAGGAGAGAAAAAAAAAATCTAGAATAAAACATATTTATTTTGACATCTGTCTTCTGAGGACTTAAGCCACTGAAAACCAATAGAGCCTCCCTGTGGGGAAGGGACCCCACAGCCACCAGTCCTAGGAGAGTCACATGGGGAGGGGGCTTCAGTGTGGCAGGTGGCACTTGGTGTGGCTGAATGTGTCTCATCTTTTCCACTGTGGATTCTAGGACAGTAGATGGACCCTGACAAGATCAGCATCTTAAAGTTTGAATTTGATAGAGACTCAAAAGTTAATCGAACCCTCAGTGGAAAAGAAGTCTGTGATGAATTTGCATCTCCCCTCTTGACCTTGGTTCCCTCATCTGTAAATGAGGGGATGAACCAGGTAACTGCTGAGCCCCACGCAGCTCTAGGGGTCTGTGATTTCAGGCTGGCTTTTCTCCCAGTTGGAGTTTTGTTCCTCTGCTCTAACTTTTCTGCTGTAATCTGGGTGTTACAGGCTGAATTGTGTCCCCACGAAATTCGTATGTTGAAGTCCCAACCCCCAGTACCTCAGAATGTGACTATATTTGAAGATAGGGCCTTTAGATGTAATCAAGTTAAAATGAATTCTGTAGAGTGGGCCTTGGTCCAATAGGACTGATGTCCTTATAGAAGGAGGAAATTTGGAAACAGATATGAGTCCGCACAGAGGAGAGACCTCGTGAAGACAGAGGGAGGAGATAGCCGTGTACAGGCCAAGGAGAGGCCTTAGTGGACATCAGCCCTGCTGACACCTTGATCTCAAACTTCCAGCCTCCTGAACCCTGAGAAAATACATTTCTGTTGTTTACACCACTCAGTTTGTGGAACTCTGTTATGACCGTTCCAGCAAACGAATGCACAGGGTTGTACCACAATGACTTGTGTGAAAGAAGTTCCATGTGTTTTTCTTAACAGACTCTTAATCTCAGTTTTAGCTAAACTAGTCCTTTCTTCTGCAGGATATTCAAAATACTTAAAAAAAAAAAATTGGTTTCTTTGTCATCTGATGTGATGTAAATCACTTTAGTAAAATGAATCCTCTTTATTTTTACTTGAAGGGAATTTCACAATTTTGATCCACAGAACAATTTTTTTGAATGGTTGTGGATCACCAATTTGCTTTTTAAGAAATACTGCCATCAGCTATAAAATTCATTTAAAGCCAAATAACTCACTGGATAAACTCGCAGGTAACAGGGCAATTTATAAAGAACTTCAGACCAAACAAGCAACTCCAGAGGGGGCAGAGTCCAGGTTTTGTTTACTACTGTCACCTTTAAAAGTTCCCAGAGTCAAACATCATGTGACTGGGCTACAGGACAACAAATTAACTGATAAAGAAAGGTAACCACGTATCACTTTGGGGTTTGAGACCCGGATTCTTACTTTGTAGTAAAGCATGTGATCGCCAAAATGGATTTTTCTTTCATTTAGTACCAAGATTCCTGTTCTTTTCGTCTACAAAGTAGTCTCGAGTGGTTGGAATGTGGCTGGAATTCAGGAGGATTTCTTCTCTCTCTGTAAATTCCCCTCAATACAGCAGTGAAAGTTCTCAGGGACAGCATTTCTGGATCAGAACAGCTCACATGGGAGGTTAGGATCATCCAGCTTTTGAGGCTCCACATGTCTGAGAAAGAGATCAGCAGGTGGCCCATCCTGGCTTCCCCAGTCATTGCCAACATGCTCAGAGGCTGACACCTAACCAACCAGTGGGCACAGCTGTAAAGTCAGCAGCTGTTTAGTGATTTATACACACAATGACATGAATGAACCCTAATTTTTCAGCCAGATTTTTTGGTGTCATCTAATTATAACAATGAGAGTTCACAGATTTTTTAAAGTCCAGCTTTCTAAAAAATGACATCTTGAGGAAAAAGCTTGGCCAACTAAGGAGGCTGAGGAACGGCAGGCACTTTTATTCCAGATATCCACAGAACGGAAAAAATTTCAACTTATTTATATTCACTTATTTACATGGGTAATGAATAACTTAAGGAACACTTCATCTCAAACACAGATTGCTTTTATTTCAGCTCAGCTCCTGTTTCTGTTCCATATATATTTTTCAGTTTCCATCAATGTCAAACACCATTTTTTTCATTCTTCTTTAAAAAAAAAAAAAAAAAAAGATTTACAAGCACTTTTACGGCACTCAAGGAAAGTAGGCTGAAGGTTCATAATAATAATTTTCCTTTTAAAAAACATCCATCAGACCAAAATAAAATCATTTTAATTAACTCCTTCCTGAGTAACTAAAACCTTGGAATGTGCTGAAAGGTTATAATAAATAAGGCAGTCAAAGATCAACCAGCTTAAAATGTATTTTTTAAATTAAACTATGTAAAATGTACAATATATTTCATGAAGTACAAACTGTGTTGGGCTCAGGGCCAAAGAAATGTTGTCATGTGTGCCAAATATACTGATGAAGTGCTTTGACTTTATGGACCTAAGGGCTGTTTGTTGGGACAAAAGAACATTAAGACCCTGCAGGTAAGTCAGTCAGCATCTTCTGCTGTGACGCTGTAACGATCACTGCTCACGATAAATGCCTTTGAACACACAGGTAGAAACGCTCCTGGGAACTTGCGCTCAGAGATACTGTTTGTCAAATGACCAGTGGTCCGGATGTTCTGATAAGAGCAGAGAGCTCTCAGCCAACTCAACTTTATTTTCCGAGAGTGAGATGGCACAGTGTGTAAACTAATTATTCTCTACATGCACTTTCGTAGAAATGGCTCACAACATACCAGGCGGCAGTTCCCGCTCGTTCTGAATGTGGTAACTGTTCTTCGGGTTGCTTTCTAAAGCACGTCTAATGGTAGGGCCCCGGTCTCTCTAAACGGGACAAAGGATCTTTTCCTCTTTTCTTAGAAGTGACCACAATTCTACATTTCCCTTAATCGCTCCGCTGCCCCGGTTCTCTGAGGCCGAAAGGAGGCCCACGGGTGGCCGAATGCTGGACTTTGCGCCTCTGCGGTCCCGGCCTTCACCGGACTCCCGCGGGGTGGAGCCTTCTCAATCCATCTCATGATAAAGTAGCTTTAGTGCACACTTGACAGGTTCCAAATGACTTGCTTTATATCCTGGCTACCGTCCAATTTTAGGGAACGCAGAAAAAATTCTAGAGAAACTTGTTGGTTTCTGAAAAGTAGAAAATGTGTAGCTTGTGTAAAGTTAGAGTCTTATTGACTAAGTATTCCCAACTCACACTCTGCTATGCTCTTGAAGGGCTGGCTCCAGGGGAGAAAAGAGGAGACAAATCCGTGGCGTGGGCTGCCCGCCGCCACCGCCTGCACCCCGCGTCTCAGCTGGCCGTGCGTTAGCCGCCCGGGGGTACAGCTATCGTCAGTGTGCGGGGCGGGTAAAGATGAAAACATTTCCAAATCCAAGGACAGAGGTGCCTAACGATGGGACCCAGGCGTCGCAGGTAGATGGCAGGGGATGGGAGCGGGATGGGGAGGAGATATTTTGGAGACCCGACACCGCTCGACACCCACTTGGGTCACTCTGGGGGCGGCCACCTTCTCATAAAGCCGGTCAGGCAGCCTCTTGCCCAGAAGCTCTCGCTGCTCCCATAGGAAATGGGACCATAGTTTCCCTGCTGCCTGCACAGAACCCAGTTCCCCCTTTTACCAAAACCAGGCACCTCTTAAGGGACTAGAAGGTGGAAGACGCCGGGTACTCTGGGCCCTGCTGGCCCGGGGTGCGCCCGACAGACTGTGCACCGCCTGCGGCCGGGCTTAGAGCTTCTACCGCAGGTTAAATGCCAGAGCGACACTGGTTCCTGGGAGAAAATATTTCGCGGTGGGTGCAAAGGACAGGACGGCACCTTTTCCTGCGCCACGTGACCTCCAGGGCTGGTTTGTGTCGCCTACCCTCTTCCTCACCCAGCCAACAAGCTCTCCTCCCTGCCACGCTCCTCTGAAATCTGCCACAGCCGCGCTCGGCATGGAATGTCTCAGTGGGCTGGCCACGCGCTCTGACCTTGAGAGGGACTCAGGGCTTCGGGTGGCGGGTGGCAGGGCTGACTGGCTCCTTCAGAGATAACAAGTGTGCTGCTCATGACAAGTAAGTGTCCCCTGAGACGGACCAGAGGCAGAACCTACCCACGGGGCAGGGCCGCCAATCCTGGGGCATCCTCCCTTCTGATGTCCTGACCTGTCCTCCCTTCTCCTCTTCGATCCTTCTGGAGTGGATTCCCTGGGCTCTGAAGTGGTTTTGTATTTCTAGCAAAATAAACATGTCTGGATGTCTCCTACCACTGAGGTAATGTTTCCGCAAGTCCTTTCACAAATGATAAGTTACTGGGCTGTGGGCTGTCTTTCCCTCCTTCTCTCACTGCACCAGGGGGGGAAAAGCTATTTTATGACGAGATGCCTTGCGATGGAGTCACCTTAGCGCACCCGGGAAGGGCCCAAGGAGCCAGGAAAAACACAGAATAAAATTAAACAAATAAAACCCGCAAAACCGGGCATTTCCCAGTGACCCCAACCTGTGGGAATGTTTTGTTCCTTTTAATGCAGCCGAGCATTAATTCAGTCCCTTCAGGATGTTTCTTCCTCAAACAAAAAGATCCTTCTGGAAAAGGGAGAGGAAGCCACGGGAAGCAGCCCCGGGCCGGCGCCATCACCTCTTGTAAATCTCTTCGAGCCACTTCTCGTCGTCCTGCTGGTCGTCGCCCACGGGCTCCTCCGTGCCCAGCGGGGCCGGGATGAAGAACTGGGGCCTGGGCGGCGGCTCGCTGGCCTGCGACCGCAGCCCGAACCTGCGCTTCAGCAGGTGGAACTGCTCTTTCACGTAGTGGTAGAACTCGTACTCGTACCTCATGCGCTGGTACAGGATCTGCACGGCCTCGGGCGACGGGGCGGTCTTCCTCACGGTCACAGTCATGTTTCCCAGCCTCCTGTGCTCTGCAAAAGAAGCGAGTTGCACGTGAGCGACCGTCCGGGGTGCTTAGCTTTGCAGGAGTAATGGTGGGGCCCAGTGTGACCCGCAAATCCCGGCGGCTGCGGGAGAAAGAAACTCGACAGTCAAGCAGGAGAAGGGAAAATGCGTCCCCAGAGCATCTGGAAAGCTTTCGGCCACTGGGCGTGAACCTGCACACTAGCTGACTAAAGACAAGCTGGCCAACGTCGTTTCCAGGGGGCCTGAGCTCCGCAGTTAGGCCGCAATCCAATTGCTGACTCCTAAGTTATACGTTCTTTGAAGAGCAAAATCTACCCATTTTTCATCTTTTATTTCCTGTTACACATGTAAAGGGCGTTGCTTTCAGAAGGAAGCACAGAAAAGAAGCTGTCTCACCAGTCTAATCATCTTGGTTTTTTTTAGTTTAAAAATATTGACACCTATTAATGATAGTTTAACTTGGTGCAAAACCCAATTACATTTCACCACTCCAGCAAGGCATTTGTCAAGAAAAATAAAGGAAGGACTGTTGGGTTCCTTAGATGCAATTTTAACTGTGGTACATTTTAAATGGTTATTTTTTCTTATAGTGGTAAAAGATATAACTAAAATTTGTTCAATTTTTGATTGATGCTGAGTAATATAAATATGTGTATATATGTGATATATTTTTAAATGACAAAGTTTTAACATTTTAAAGCATTACATATTGGTGGCATCAATTACATTTGGAATGCTGTGCAACTGTCCCCACGATTGCCACAATTCTTTCATCACTCCACACAGAAATGCTATACCCATTAAATGTTAACTCCTCATGCCCCTCCTCTACCTACGCCTCATTTTGTCTATGAATTTGCCTATTCTAGGTACTTCATATAAGTAGAATCATACAATATTCGCCCTTTTGGGTCTGGCTCATTTTCACCAAACACGTTTTCCAGGCTGCGCAATATTCCATTATATGGATATACCACAGTTTGTTTGTCTCATTGGTGGACACGTGGGCTTTTCTACTGTTTGGTTATTGTGAAGAGTGGAGCTATGATCATCTGTGTGCGAGCATTTGTTTGATCTCTATTTTCGATTCTTTTGGGGATATACCTAGCAGAGGAATTGCTGGCTCACATGGTAATTCTATTTAACTTTTGGAGGAACCACCAATCTGTTTTTCTCAGTGGCTGAACCACTTTACATTGTATGAAGATTCCCATTTCTCCAAAGCCTCTTCTACAATAGTTATTTTCCATTAAAAAAAAAAATTATAGCCATCCTAGTAAGTGTGAAGTGGTATCTCATGGTGGTTTTGATTTTTATTTCACTAATGACTCATAATGCAGAGCATCTTTTCATGTGCTAGTTGGCCATTGGTATATCTTTTCTGGAGAAATGTCTATTCAAGTTCTTTGCCTATTTTTGAACTGGATTGTTTACTTTTTTGTTGTTGTAGAAGTTCTTTATATATTCTGGACATTCTACGTATATAGCAGGTATACGATTTGCAAATACCTTCCCCCATTTTTTAGGCTGTCTTTTTACTCTGCTGATAGTTTTCTTTGATGTACAGAAGTTTTTAATTTTAATTAAGACCAATTTATCTACTTTTTCTTTTGTTACTATACTTTGGTGTTATATTTAAGAAACCATTGCCAGACTCAAGCACATGTAGATTTGCCATCATATTTTCTTTTATCATCTTATTTTATTTAAAACTTTTGCCACCAAATTTTACAGGTACATTATTCACAGGATTGGTACATAATTATGGCTCCAAATGCATTTCCAAAATCAGACTCATGCAACACGACAAAAACTTGTCATTTTTGAGGGTATCTGAGATACTTTCTAAAGCTTCAATAGAAGTTCTAAAGAAGAAATTTAAAATTTTTCTCTGAATAGTAACAGACTCATTGAGATAAGGGTATTGCTTTTCAAATGGAGTCTCTTAAAAGGCATAACACATGTGGATACAGCAGTTCTAGAATTTTTGTAAAAGAACTTGGCATAGTTTTTCCTAAAACAGCTTTATGATAGAACATTTTATGATGTCTGTCTTCTCTGCAGATATTAACTACAGCTAACCTGAGGCAAGACATGTTATAAGCTTTAAATATAAATATTCCCTTTGTGTTTTTAAAACCCAGAGTTTAAAAACATCCTATTAAAGACAGACAAAGCACAAAAAAGTTTTAAGTTAAACACTGAGAGGCACAAGGAAAATAATTTACTCATTTCCATATTTCTGCAGTCCCTCTTGGAGCACTCGAAACTGTGAGGGGTTCTTTTTTCTCACACCAGAATCCAAAAACGACTGCTATCATTTTAAAATAAGTTCCACAAAAATTCAGTGCTCAGGTCTTTCCCTTAAAATCCTTGTCTCCATGTGTCCCCTTTCGTATTTCACCTTCTTTTTCTCCTCTCCATCACGACCAAACTTCTTAAAGAGGTGTCTGAATTTGCTATAAAATTTCAGCTTATACACATGACTGAACTGACCACAACCTGGTTTATGCCCCCTCAATGCCCCCTTCGAATTACTCTTGCTTCCCTGCTGCTAAGTCAGCGGGCATTTCTCACGCCTTCCACCGCTTGTTAGCGGGACTTCACAACTCCGCCGGCCACATGCTCCGTCTTGAAACTCTTCTGTGGTGTCTGTCACAGCATTTCCCTGGCTGGCCTGGTCTCCTGACTGCCCCCCTTCCTTTCTCTACCCCCGGCCCTCTTTTCCTGTGCATCCTTCAAATGTCAGTGCCTCCCAGGATGCCGGGCCGGCCTTTCTCCCTTCTGCCTTCTTTATTCTCTGCGTGGTATCATCCAGCCTTCTACCCTTTAGTTTTCATACCATTGTGGACACAAAACCAAAAGTTTATATAAAATAATTTCAGCTTTTTGTGCTTTTGTTTTTCACAGAGCTCACAAATTTAATAAGCAGGTTAATGATATTGCCAGAGGGTTATGTCATGGTCAGAATTAGGAGTGCTGGTGGGTGGAGGTGGAAGAGGGCATAGAGGGGATAAATGGTGATGGAAAAAAATAAATAAAATAATAAAAAGGAAAGAAAAAAGAAACAGGAGTGCTATTTTGTGACAGAAGAAGCAGAGACTCAGATTCAACCAACACTGATGGTGAACACCTATTCTGGGTTTGGATTTTGGGCATCTGAATGTTATTTTATTTAATACTCCCAATAATCCTGCGAGGTGTCATGACCCCTCTTTTGCAGAGGTGGAGATGAAAGCTCTGGGAGCTTAAATGACTTACCCAAGGTCACACAGCTAGTAAGTAAGTGACAGAGCTGGAATCTAAGCCTGGATTTGCATGTGTGTTGAGGTTTCCACTCACTAAGCACTGGGTCCTAACCAGTGGAGCTTTCGTGAGCCTGTAGAAAATTATCCCCTTCATATGGAAAGACTAGAAGGCAGACTGCCTTGCAGTGTTAGTAGAGAATGTTTAAAGTCACATTTCAAAGACATATGGTTATGTGTCTCGCTGTACAATAATCAGTGCTATGGAAAAGTCATTCCATTGCTAAGTATTTTTGTAAAATGCCAGACTTTCCCTCCAAACAAAACAAATCTATGTGAACTGTGGAATCAGTCTCTCCCAGATTGCCATAATAGCAGCCCTGCAGGAAGTTGTTAGGGTTTTTTGGAGACTCTTGTTATTTCAGCCACAACACAATCATGCTCTAAAGATCTATACTTACTATAAGCATCCTTTGGGAAGTGGAGTAGCCCTCGGTAGGTGAGCATATACTGTGGAATGTAACCATCAAGAAGTGAAGACCCCCCATGGGCATCTTTTGAAATTAACAGGACTGGAGAGATGCGTTCAAGGAGCTCATGTCTCGCGTCCACTGGTAAACATTTCCAAAGGAAGAGACAAATACAGAGCTCCTTCCACTGAGGCAGGGATGGCAAGCACGCGGCCTGGGGCCTGACGGGCAGGCTGTGTTATTTGGCTTGTGCGATATTTTTTTAGAGTTTGACTTAGTTGTTGTAAGACTTGGTCTATTTCACATGGAAATCTGGATTTCTGGCTTCTCTCAAAGTGAGGCAATATTCTGGAGCTGAGTATGGCTGTGCCCCTGAGAGAGGCCAGTTCTCTCCATTCTGTCTCTGACGCCAAATGTCAGTTCATTCTTTTATATTACCTGCCTGGCTGCTGCATAAATTTGAGTTTTATGTTTTGCTTTAAAGGTTTTGAAATTCTAGGTTTCATAAACCGAGGAAGTAAGTGCTTTGTGTCAAAATTAAGGCTTCAATTAAGCCTCACTCGTGTGTCCAATGTCACCTTCCTTTTTATTTCCTGCAAATATTTATTGAATAACTTTCCTGTGCAGGCACTGGACTTACAAGCAGTGGATGGGACATGATCTCCATCATCATAGGCATTTCTGAGGACTGTGAGATAGCTAACAGGCATTTAATCCTCAGAAAACTCCCCAATGACCTGGGTTCTCTTATTATCACCAGTTTACAGATGTGATACTGGAAATTAGTAACTTGCCCGAGGTCACACAGCTGGTGAGTGGAGAAGCCAGAAGTTGGGTCTGAAACAGTCTGACTACTGAACCCAAGCTCTTTACCCTTCACGTTGCCTATGGTTGGATGGGGCTCATGGTGTATGGGGACAATCCGTCTTCATAACCTAGTCACCCAGGGGCAGGTGGGGCATTTCATTCTAGCTGGTTTGCTGGCACCCACATTTCCTCTCCTTTGTCAGAAATCCTTAGTGGGGAGACCAAATCTCATGGGCTTGTCCCAAGTGCTCTGCATGGCGTTGCGTCTTTTATAACTACCCTTTGACCATTTGATCATGTACATCTGTTGTGCATCTAAGTCTGAGAAGATAGGGCAGGTTTATGTATTTCAACCAAAAGATAGAAAACATTTACGAGGACTTGGAGGCACTATCAAACTTCTGAAATTTTCCCCCTGGATTTTTTTCTTAACATCCACACCAGTTTCATCCAGCTGCTCTCCTAACGAAGCTTGTTATGCTG